ATACTGCTCCACGCGGACGCGAAGGGCAACAGCCCTGAGACCCAACTCCTTATACGCGAACGCGTATGCCTTCACGCGAACGCGATGACTCAACACCTGACCCTTTCGCAATCGCGAGGCCCAGACGCGAACGCGAAGGTCAAAATCCTGGTCCTGCAATTTCCTTTTACGCGTTCGCGACTAGCCAACGCGAACGCGAAGACCAACCAACGCGAACGCGAAGACCAATTCTTCTGCAACAGCTGATCTCAAGTTTCTACAATATTTTCCAAGTTTAAATCTTCCCGTTAGCCATCCGAAATCACCCCGAGGCCCCCGGGACCTCAACCAAAAGCACCAACACATCCTAAACATCATTCAAACTTTTTCCAATCATCAAAACACATCAAACAACACTAAAATCATCAATTCTTACCGAATTCAAGCCTAAGTTCTTCAAAAACTTCCGAAACACGCATTTGATCAAAAATCCAACCAAATCACCTCTGAATGGCCTGAAATTTTGCACACACATTCCAAATCACATAACGAAGCTACAACAACTCTCGGAATCCCATTTCGACCCTCGGATCAAAATGTCACCTATCAACCGAAATTTGCAAAAATACTAACTTCGCCAATTCAAGCCTAATTCTACACCGGACCTCCAAACCAATTCCGATCATGCTCCTAAGTCTCAAATCATCCCCCGAAGCTAACCGAATCACCGAAAATCACATACGATCCCTCTAACTCATCAACATCCGGTTGACTTTTCCGAAACAAACCTTCCTTAAAGAGACTAAGTGTCTCATTTCCTTCCAAAACCAATCCAATTCGACACATTCACCCAAGACTCTTATAATGAAACATAAGGAAGCAGAAAATGAGGAAAACGGGACGGTAACTCACGTGACGACGGGTCGGGTCGTCACACAGATTTTAAAATATACTTTTATTACACTTGAAATTCGCTATAGAAACTATCAATTAAAAATGAATATCCCACTTGTTGAATTCGAGAAAGAAAAAATATTTCACATAATCTAATGATTCAAAACTAATAATCCACGACGAAAAAAATATTATACCCTTGCAATGTTGGATTGACTGCAGCTAAATAAAGAGGTTTCAGCTTATACCCTTCAATTCCTAGAAGGTGTTAAATTGAAATTAATGATAGCAATTGTACAACTAAGGTTTTATTATTTGTTTGATGTCCATTTATACAAATTGACTCTTCAAACAAACGTTCTTCAAAAAGAAAAAATAACTTCTTTTTGGAATATTGACTGATTATTGTGATGTTTCTTTTTCTAGCATGTATGTGTACTTCATTATATATGTAAATAAACTTTTATTCGATTTATAAACTCTTTTTTGTTATCTGGATAAACATAAATGTGTCATATATATTACATTTAGTTTAAAAGAAATTCGCTTTATTCAAATCTAGGTATAGTGTTTTAGATAACTATATTTTAGGGTTTTCAAATGCGAAAGAATTTTATAGTTATACGCAGTAATTTTTTTTTCTTTTTCTTTTTTGTCAGAGGCGAAATAGTATTTAAATAATTAGAAAAGATAACAAAAGTTCCTAACATGATATCATATGATTATGAACCAAATTAAGTATGATAACATGATAACAAAAGATTTTTTTTTTTTAATTTTAATGCAATTTTAAAAGTTTATCTATTATTCAAAATTATTCTTTAATTCAAAACTAACATTTTCTCAAATCTCGTAGTGATAAATTTATTTTTGCACCATTCTCATTGGGGTCATTGGAACTTAATAGCGATAAAACGAAATAATAACTCGTATTTATAGCAAAGCACAAAGGTTGTCACAATATGAACGATTCTTTGGTTACGACGCGATTCTTTTACTATGTCTTGAACTCTTATTTGGTATGTTGTTATCTTTTAAAAAAAATATTTTAATTTTGAAATTTTAATTATTCTTAATTTTAAATTTACTTTAATCGGCTATCTAAAAATTTAAATGATTCTTTAGCCGATGCAACTTTATTTGAATATGACTCCATTTTGAGTTTGTCGATATCTCTAGCCACAGATTTTAAATTTTGAATACCCTTATATATACAGTTTTTTTTGGTTCATTAAATCATTGAATGTTGAATTAGTTGATTGTAATTATATAACACTGCATATATTGTCTTAAAATTGCCAAGTAATTTTTCTCGACTCTATACTTGGCTTAACTTCAATGGAAACTACTCAAATTGCATTTAAATTCAAATTCGAATATCATAGCAGTTTGTTAGTAATAGTATTTTTTAAAAATGACACACAATGTAAATTAAAAAAAAAATCTAGGATATCCTTGTCTTATAATCTATGTACTTTAGTTGAAAAAAATATTTGAAATCGAAAAGATCATCTTCCGAATTTTTTTATACTCAACAAAGATGAAATAGAAGAAGAAATGCGTTGTCATCTCTTATTTCTGATTTTTAGGTTTTTCATATTTATTTTATTATAACTTATTTTTTCTTTCTTTCTTTCTTTTGATACAAAAAATTAATTTAATCGATATAAAAGGATGAGTTTTAATTGAAATAGTCTACATAAGAACTTTATTTATATTTTTAGTTCTTGGTTGAAACTCTTTCATATTTTTCTTTTGGATTTATCTAATCAACCTAAATAGGTACTCACCCAACCACTTAAATTAAAATATTGAATGATGTGCAATTTATGTATAATTCATATATAATATGTGTATAATCATGTGTGTCGGTATATTATCTATGTATATTAGCTATAAAAAGTAAATAATTAATTTGGACGGACATTTATGTAAATATTCTATAAGATTTCGGTTTCTTAATTTTATCCATGATATGACTTCTATTATAATAATTTTAAAAACTCTATACTAAAATCCAAAAATATCTTATCTTTTTATTTTTAAAATTATATTGTATTTTAAAAAATAATCTCATTTCGAAATAATTTGTTTATATTTTTATTTTAAAAAATCATGTCATACCATTTTTTCTAAAAATATACTTTTTGTTACACTTGAAAATCGGTATAGAAACTAATCAATTAGAAACCAATATCCCTCTTGTTGAATTCGAGAAAAAAAATCTTTCACATAATCTACTGATTCAAAACTAATATTCTTCAACGAAAAAATATTATACCCTTGCAGTGTTGGCTTGCTTATACACTTCAATTTCTAGAAGGTGCTAAAATATAATTAATGATAGCAATTGTGTAGCCAATGTTTTGTTATTTGTTTGATGTGCATTTATACAAATCGATTCTTCAAATAAACATTCTTCAAAAAGAAAGAAAAAATAATTGTTTTTGAATATTAACGGATTTTTGTGATGTTTCTTTCTTCAGCATGTAGGTTAACTTCATTATATATGTAAGTAAATTTTTATTCGATTTTTAAACTCTTTTTTGTTATCTGGATAAATATAGACGTGTGCCCTATATATTACATTTATTTTAAAAGAAATTTGCTTTATTTTATCTAGCTATAGTGTTTTAACGTACTATAATTATATGATTTTAAATGTAAAAGGATTTTATAGTTATATGCAGTAGTTTTTTTTCTTCTCGTTTTTGCCAGAGGCGAACTAGTATTTAAATAATTAAAAAAGATAACAAAAGTCCCTAACATGATTGTATATGATCATTAACCTAATTAAGTATGATAACATGATAACAAAAGATAAATTTCTTTTTTATTTTAATTCAAATTTAAAAACTTTATCTATAAAGTAAAAATTATACTTTAATTCAAATTCAGTTTTTTTATATGTATATGTATGTGTGTGTGTGTGTGTGCATATATATATATATAGATATATATAATTTGACTAACATAGTAAAATTAGAATAAAGTTACCATCTACTATTGGCATATATTAGCCTACCACTTGGCTTAACCACAATGTCAATTATATATGGTAACTTTATTCCTTTAATATATATATAGATATTTGGTTGATATAAAATTTCTATTGTCGACCAAAAAATAAAACGTATTGGGTATTTCTTTTTTACCATTAACTTTATGGTAAAATTTTAGTGCAATGATTTTTTAGCTATCCAGTTATTCGAAATTTCGAATTAGCTAGGTAACTGTTTAGAGCAAGTATAAATTAGTTAATGAAGATAAGTAAGTCGAGAAAGTTGTTAGAACGAATTGTGTGCCTAATATAGAGGAAATCAATGATACTATTAAGGCGAAATACATAAACGCCCTTTCAAGTTGTCCTCAACGACCAGCTGAACATCTCAACTTAGGCCATTTTCAGTTAGACACTTTATTTATTTACAAAAGAAGATCAACTAAACACCCGACTATGTAAGCCCCCATTACGTGAAATCCACTCTCTGAGACGCGAGTTTCCATCCAATTATCAGACACAACAACCAATTTCGACGGAAAAAATGAAGGCTGCAGGAAATTTTTAACCCATCTGGTTCTTCTTACTCTCTCTCGTAAAAAATTGGAGTTTCTTCTTCTGCTCTTCTTTATCGTCATATTTAGACACCAATAGCATACCATTTTTCGAAAAGAATTTGTTGCTCCGAAGGCGGCGATTGGTGGCGATGCGGCAAAAATGGAGGAGCCGGCGCCTGCTATGTAAAATGAGAGAGGAGATCATAAAGAAATTTCTTTAAATGTATATTTTTTGTTAATTTCACGCAATGAGGGCTGACATGATTGGGTGTTTAGTTGATCTTCTTTTGTGAATAAATACAGTGTCTAACTGAAAATGACCTCAGTTGAGATGTTCAGCTAGTCGTTGAGGATAACTTAAAGGACCGTTTATCTATTTCGCCTACTATTAATCTTCAGCTAAGATTATAATCTTACTTGAGAGTTAACGCCGTCTTCCAAATCCGTTAAAAATCTCCAAATGGCGACATCTCATTGGCCAAACCCCGCTACCGAATATTCCTCCATAAAATTCCTACAGCTTCTCTTCTATAAAACCAACCCCTATGAACGAAAAAAAAACTAGTCCAAAAATAAGTAAAAAAACAAAATAAACGGAATGACCGAATCACTAAAGCGAAATTATCGTGTAAGCGAGGAGTTAGGAAGGGGACGATTCGGCGCCGTTTACAAGTGTTACTCGGCCGCGACCGGCGACCTATTCGCCGTCAAGTCCATCGACAAGCGCCTCATCGCCGATGACTCCATCGACCGGCAATGCCTTTACAACGAAGCTAAAATCATGCACTTGCTTTCGCCGAATCCTTACGTTGTTCGTCTCTTCGATGTCTACGAGGACGATACTCACCTCGATATGGTTTTAGAGCTGTGCAACTCCGGCGATTTGTTCCAACGCCTCAGTAGCCAACCAGTTTTCCCCGAGTCCGAAGCCGTTGATGTTATGGTACTCTTCCAGATCACCACAATCTCACTCGTTGCTGATCAAAAAGGGGAAATTTTACTTTTGCTTCGTATAATGGCTTGAATCAGGAACGATCTACGAAGCAGCACCTTGTTGAATTTTCGAAAATTGGAGGAGAAAGTAAATAGAATTTCTAATCGGCTTTTTTATTTTAGTTTTTCGTAGGTCTGATAAATTTCTGCATAATGTATGCATAGGTACCACTGATGAAGGCAATAGCGCACTGTCACCGGCTCGGCATTGCTCACAGGGACATCAAACCGGATAACATTTTGTACAACAACTCAAACGAGCTGAAATTGGCTGATTTTGGTTCGGCTGAGTGGTTCCGTGAGGGGCAGCTGATTAGCGGCGTGGTAGGGACACCGTATTACGTGGCGCCGGAGGTTTTAGCTGGTAGGAACTACAGTGAGAAGGTTGATATTTGGAGTGCTGGTGTTATTATGTATATAATGCTTGCCGGACTCCCGCCTTTTTATGGGGAATCGGCTACGGAGATCTTCGAGGCTGTTCTCAGAGCGAACCTTAGGTTTCCGACTAAGATCTTTCAGTCAGTGTCGCCGGCTGCGAAGGATTTGCTTCGGAGAATGCTCTCTAAAGATGTTTCTAGAAGATTCACTGCTGAACAAGTCCTTAGTAAGTGTAATTCTCCTACCATATCATTTTTTAAGCTTGTATTGACTCTACTAGTACCTTTTACTAGGATCTAACTTTTGTTATCTAAATTAACTACGTTGATTGGTAAATTTGATTTTACTTAAGACACTTAATCTTTCCTTATATCCTAATTAACCGGAAGATTTAGTAACGTCTTCTATTTCACTCCCCTGTTATGTTCTCCGTTGTTCTTTTGTGTTCTTTGAATTTTGATATCTCTTATCCACTTCCTCACTTATGGATTGACTATCAGTTTGACTTTGACCAACTCTCAGAATAACATTAGATTCATATTGTTTTTAATAGAGTTTAAGTTTATACACAGATTGAATAAGAAATCTTTATACAATTAGATTACTTATTCGGTAATTATCCGTTGATAAGTTTTAATTAGTAATGTAGTAAAAATATTACTAACCTGTGATAAAATTCAATGATACTGTAAAAAATTATTTTCACTCTCAATGTATTTAACTTTATCCTTTAAAATAATCTTAGTTAGATCATTTTAGCATAGTGTCATTTGTATATTTATTATTGTTCTAGGTTTTTTGATATCCGTTTATTGTTATTTTCGTTACTGGGTACTAAATTGTGTTAATGTGGCGGTGATAAACAGGGCACCCATGGATGACTGGCAATGGAGAAACTAGAACAGTTGCACTATTTTAGCTTGAGGAGATTTGCGTCTGCCGATAAAAAATCATACAAACCCGATTTTTGGGTACGTAAAGATCAGCAGCCGCATATGAGAGCAATCTGTTCGTCTAGATAGAATTAGTTACTCCTATAGTAAATACTAGTACTACTCCAGTTACTGTATAGCCACCAGCCTAGTAATTAACTAGTAACTACCTACCTACCTAATTATCTTTGTGGGCTTCCATCTGCGTGAACTAACAATTAATACTTGCGAGGTTTGGATGCAATTTTCTTGTAAAAATTGCACGGGGCGCCCTATTTCGGTGCCCCTTTTAACCTGTAGCCGCTTTGTCTTTCTATTTGCACCTGTACTCACTTTTTAAAAAACTTCAGCTTCCCTTTCTCCTCCCCTTCTCCTTCTTCATTTTCTCATTGTCTGGAAACACAACTCCGTGAAGTTAATTAGACAAAAACTTCAGCTCTATAGCTGAAGTTTTTCAGTTACAACACAAAAGCTTCAGCTCTAGAGCTGAAGTTTTCTAGTTACAATATAGAAACTTCAGCTCTAGAGCTGAAGTTTTCCGGTTACAAAGACAAAAACTTCAGCTCTAGAGCTGAAGTTTTCCAGTACAAAAGAAAAACTTATAAAACAAAACTTCAGCTCTAGTGAAGTTTTTATTTTATAACTGGCAAACTTCAGCCCGGTTACTAAAAAAAACTTATAAAATAAAACTTTCGCGAGTTACAAAACAAAAACTTCAGCTCTAGAGCTGAACTTCAGGCCCGGCTACTAAAATGCTGAAGTTTTGTGTGATTGCCTTTGCTACTTCAGTCCCGTGTGCTGAAGTTATGTGAAAAAGCGGGTACGCTTGCAATTTTTTTTTGCAAAGCGGGCACAGGTTAAAATGTGGCACAAAAAGCGGGTATAGATGCAAATGCCTCTTTCTTTTATGTTCCCCTCCTGCACTGTGTTTGTTGTTTGCGAATGGGAAAAGAGAATGCCATGAATTCTCTTTTTTGGGGATATTTAGCTAAATTATCATCTTTCTGATATTCCTTTAATTTAGAAAGAATATATTTGTTTACTCCTAAAACGATACAGTGGATTTATAACGTGGTTTATAGATATATGAATTAAATTGATCCAAGAATGTAAAATAACTAAGAATAGAAATAAACTAATTTAGAAAATTTGAAGAAAATACAAGCCTGATTGTGAAGTGAGCTTATCCGGAAGCAAGAACAAGAATAGAGTATTGAGAAAGAATGTTAATAAAACAAAAGTAAGTTTAGCCTTTTTGTATATAGATCTTTTTTGTCTCCAATGAGTACAAATTCTCTTATTTATATAGCTAAATTCAAGGAGACAAGATCCATAAATCAAGCTATTTTTTAATATGAATAAAGACCTCTCTTGATGGCTGCATAACGGTTGAGTATAATTGCAAAGATTCTTTATAGCGGCTGCTCCTTAAATATTGCATTCTTCAACCGATATCTTCCTTTCGAACTTTCGTCCCCGGTTTTAGTGTCTTCGGAACTCACACAACATCAGTCACATGCTCGTAAGCGGTGCCAGCTATTTGCTGACTCATATCCTACGTGTTTTTACCGCCACATGTCAACTCGACGAGCACCCACATGTCATTCATCAATTTTATCCCATATAATATTATCTCTGACAATTATTCAGTAGGCGTTTGGACATAAGAATTGTAAAATTTCAAAAAACGGTGAAAAAAATTTTCAAGTGAAAATGGTATTTGAAATTTGGAGTTGTGTTTGGACATAAATTTCAGTTTGGGTTGTTTTTGAAGTTTTGTGAGTGATTTGAGTGAAAATTTTGAAAAACTGCTTTTTGGAGTTTTTCAAATTTTCGAAAATTTTCAAAATGCATCTTCAAGTGAAAATTGAAAATTTTATAAACAAACGTTGATTTCGAAAAAAAGTAAAAATTTTTTAGAAAAAAGGAAAAAAAATGTTTATGTTTAAACGGGCTCTCAGTTTCGAAAAGGTTGTTTAAAAGTTCGTGTTTTTTGGCCATAATGTTCATATAGGATTAAAATTATATGCAATGACAGTGTATAGATTTTTTTACACTATTGGTGTAGTTTTAATCTATATATTTGGTAAGCTATCATTTTTGTTAGGTTATTAATTAAAAATTTATGTATGGTAACTTTATAAATGGCATAATTTGTCACGTCCCAAACTACCTCAGACGTGATTGGCACCCAATTAACACCACCCGCTAAGCGAACCATACTTTCATACCTTAGCCAACAATTTGCGGTATTTGATTAATTAAATAAATAATCTAAGTAATCTAATAATTAATTACGAACAATTAATATCTCAAATATTGAAACTCTAGCCCAACTCCCACACTAGACCATAGAGCATCTAAGAGAATTACAAAAGACCTCATATGAATAAATGATAAAGACTCTTTTGGCTGCCTCCACGAACAATGCGCTGGCTCACCTCAAAAACCAGATCAACTAGCGAATTCGTCAGCTACTAGCTCCGTCGTCAGTGAATAGTATCTGCATGGACATGCAAAGTAAGGAGTGGGTTATACATGAATATAACCCAGTAAATCCTCGGCCCGCCACTTTAAATACCTCTGGAACAAGTGAGAAAAAAATAAATACACCACAACAAGAACGATATAATAAATACGATAATTATACAATGACTCAATATATATTTATCAACAGAGTTAATAAGAATTAACCGACAAGAGTACATAATCTTAACAGTATACACTAAGGACTTGTCATGACCAGGATGAAAGAAATTAAACAACACCTTTACGAGTCCACAACGGCACCACAATGCCTCAAATGTGTAATAAATCATACACAATGCTCACTGAAGCATACACAATGCTCCAAATATAAATATCAAGAAGCATACACAATGCTCGGGTAATGTAGAAAGGCATACACAATGCCCCAACATCATGGCGCACAACCGTATCAAACTCAACATCATGGCTCACAGCCGTATCAAACTCAACATCATGGCGCACAGTCGTCTCAAACTCCATATCATGGTGCACAGTCGTATCAAACTCAATATCATGGCGCACAACCGTATCAAACTCAATATCATGGCGCACAGCCGTATCAAACTCAATGTCATGGCGCACAGCCGTATCAAACTCAATATCAAGGCGCACAGGTGTATCAAACTCACTATCATGGTGCAGAGCCGTATCAAACTCAATATCTTGGCGAATAGCCGTATCATGCTATCAAACAAC